GGAGGAGGTGCTGAGGGAATTCCTGGATTTCCTCTGGAATTGGTGAGGGAATTCCTGGATTTCCTCTGGAATTGCTGAGGGAATTCCTGGATTTCCTCTGGAATTGCTGAGGGAATTCCTGGATTTTCTTGGAAGGAATCCCGGGGTTTTCCCATGAAGGAATTCCTGGATTTCCTCTGGAATTGCTGAGGGAATCCCGGGATTTTCTGGGAGGGAATCCCGGGATTTGCTGGGAGGGAATCCCAGAATTCTCCAGAATTGCTGAGGGGAATCCTGGGATTTTCCTCAAAGGAATCCCGGGATTTTCCAGGAGGGAATTCCTGGATTTCCTCTGGAATCGCTCAGGGAATCCCAGGATTCTCTTTGATCCCATTCCAGGCTGAGATAAATCCTGGGAATCCTCAGGGAAGGAAAAGCCCGGAATCCATGGGAAGGAATCACCCCTGGAATTCAGAGCTTTGGGATTAGAACATTCCTGCTTTTTTTCCTCGGGATAAAAGAACTCAAATTCCCAAACTGCTCCAGCACGAGGAATTTTCCCCGGAAAAGGGTTTGGAAAAGCCCCGGAATTCCAGAGGGAAGGGAGGGATTTGCTCTCCTCACTGAGCCATTCCCAAATCCGGAGGTGCCGGAATCTTTTCCAGAGGAACCAGGAAAGCTTTGGGGAATCTGGGAGTTAATCCCAAAATCCCTGTGGAATTTTGGGAGGAATTAACCCAGAGAGAGAGAGGAGGAATTCCAGAGGGGGGAGCTGAGGAATTCCCTGGGAATGGGAAGGAAATTCCCAACATCCCAAATCCAGGGGGAGGAGGGAAAGGACAAACCCCAGGAATGTTTGGAATTTTGGGAATATCCAGGCCTGGATCAGAATCCCGGGAATCCTCGGGGAGCAGCTTTTCCAAACTTTCTCCTCACTCCTTTCCCTCTTCCATGATTTTTCCAGAACTTTTTCTTCCCTCCTCCATTTTTTTCATCTCTTTTTTTCCTTTCCCAGGTTTTTTTCCCAAGTTTTTTCTTCCCTCTTCCCCTTTTTTTTCCCGCTTTTCCTTTCCCTCCACAAATCCCAACATTCCCATTCCCACCATTCCAAACACGTTTTTCCCCCAATTTTCCCATTTTTTCCCTATTTCCTCCCACTTTCCCCACATTTTTTTCTCATTTTCCCAATTTGTTCCCAACTCCCCCCAATTTTTTCCATTTCTTTCCATTTTCTCCCGGTTTTCCCCCCATTTTTCCCAATTTTCTCCCTATTTTTCCCATTTTTCCCATTTTCTCCCAATTTTCCCCCCATTTTTCCCATTTTTCCCCCATTTCTCCACATTTTCCCCTCATTTTTCCCCATTTTTCCCACATTTTCCCATTTTTCCCTTATCTTTCCCACATTTCCCCCTCATTTTTCCTCATTTTTTCCCATTTTTTCCCATTTTTCCCTCATTTCCCCTCATTTTTCCCCATTTTTTCCATTTTTCCCTTATCTTTCCCACATTTCCCCCCAAATTCCCCCCATTTTTTCCCATTTTCTCCCAATTTTCCCCCAATTTTCCCTATTTTTCCCCCATTTTTCCCCCATTTCTCCACATTTTCCCCCCATTTTTTTCCCATTTTTCCCCATTTTTCCCCATTATTTTTCCCATTTTCCCCCATTTCCCCCCATCCCCCCCCCTCCCCCTCCATTCCCACCATTCCCAGATTCCTGCTGACGCCTTTTCCCGTTTTTCCAGCCCTCTTCCAGCCGCATTCCGGGCTCTGGGATTCCCCCTCCGCTGCTCCGGGGGGGCCAAGCGGCCACGGCCAAGTTGGGATCTCAGCAGAACCCCCAGATCGTGATGCCCCCCCTGGTCCGAGGGGCCCAGGTGAGCTTTTCCCATTTTTCCCACTTTTTTCCCACTTTTTTCCCCGTTTTTTCCCGCTTTTCCCATCCCAGGAAAAAATTCGGGATCTCCCCCCTTGCGTGGTTCAGACATCCCGTGGAATTCCAGGGATAACAGCGAGGTTTCCTGGGATTTTCGGGGTTTGTTTGTGTCATTCCGGGGTTTCTTTGGCTTTGTGCCTTTTGATTCCCAGTTTTCCATGGATTCCCAACCTCCTTTTCCGTGGTTTCCCTGCAAATTCGCTCCAAAACTTTGGGATTTGGGGTTGGAATGCTCAGGGTGCTCCTTGTCCCGTGGTTTTGGAGGGAAAGGGAAGAACATTCCTGGGTTTATTTTCCTTCTCTCCTGGCTCATTCCCACTTTTCCATGGATTCCCAACCCCCTTTTCCATGTTTTCCATGCAAATCCAGTCAGAAACTTTGGAATGTGGGGCTGGAATGCTCAGGGCGCTTCTTGTCCTGTGGTTTTGGGGGAAAAGGGAAAGATGGAGTGAGAGGGAAAACCATTCCTGGCTTTATTTCCTTCGCTCCTGGCTCATTCCCACTTTCCCACGCTTTTCCCACTCTTTTTTCCGTGTGTTCCCAGCAAATCCAGTCCAAAACTTTGGGATTTGGAGCTGGAATGCTCAGGGCGCTTCTTGTCCCTTAGTCCTTGAGGGAAAGATGGAGGGAGAGGGAAAAATGGAGGGAAAGGGAAAGATGGAGTGAGAGGGAAAACCATTCCTGGCTTTATTTCCTTCTCTCCTGGCTCATTCCCACTTTCCCACGCTTTTCCCGCTCTTTTTTCCGTGTGTTCCCAGCAAATCCACACGATCCGGCAGCACTCGAGCTCGGGGCCGCCGCCGCTGCTGCTGGCGCCGCGCGCCTCGGTGCCCTCGGTGCAGCTGCAGGGCCAGAGGATCATCCAGCAGGGGCTGATCCGCGTGGCCAACGTGCCCAGCGCCAGCCTGCTCGTCAACATCCCGCAGGTGGGGATCTGGGAATTCCGGGAATTCCATCGGGAATGGGGTGGGAATGGCAGGGTCACCCCGTCCTTGTCCCGCTCTTTCTGCTGGAGGGGGATGGGGATGGGGCAGGTGGGCCTGGCACGCAAAAATCCTTCAGTCCCAAAAATCCTCCAATCCCAAAAATCCTTCAGTCCCAAAAATCCTCCAATCCCAAAAATCCTTCAGTCCCAAAAATCCTTCAGTCCCAAAAATCCTTCAATCCCAAAAATCCTTCAGTCCCAAAAATCCTTCAATCCCAAAGATCCTTCAGTCCCAAAAATCCTTCAGTCCCAAAAATCCTTCAGTCCCAAAAATCCTCCAATCCCAAAAATCCTTCAGTCCCAAAAATCTTCCAATCCCAAAGTTCCTCCAATCCCAAAAATCTTCCAATCCCAGAGGTACTCCAATGCTTCCTGGTGGAGCCCACCCCCACTGATTCCCAAGGATCCCCCATGGATCCCATTCCCTGATTCCCAATGATCCCATTCCCATCTCTCCTCAGGCATCCCCCACATCCCTGAAGGGCTCCGGGGTCCCCTCAGGCCTGGCCCAGGCGAGCAGCACGGCGCTGGCGGGCCATGGCACACATGGATCCCATTCCCAATAATCCAAATAATCCCAATAATCCAAATAATCCCATTCCCATCTCTCCACAGGCATCCCCCACATCCCTGAAGGGCTCCGGGGTCCCCTCAGGCCCCTCAGGCCCATCCCCGGCGGGCGGCACGGCGCTGGCGGGCACCGGCGAGGCTCCGGGCAGCCGGCAGGCCGCGGCCAAGCTGGCGCTGCGCAAGCAGCTGGAGAAAACGCTGCTGGAGATCCCCCCGCCCAAACCTCCCGCCCCGGAGATGAATTTCCTGCCCAGCGCCGCCAACAACGAGTTCATTTACCTGGTGGGGCTGGAGGAGGTGGTGCAGAACCTGCTGGAGACTCAAGGTGAGCTCAGCGAGGGGATAAGCCGGGTTTAAAGGTGGTGGGGTGAGGTGAAGATGTAGAAATGAGGGGTTTGAAGCTCAGAGGAATCATTGAAACTACGCAGAAATCATTGAAAGCTCCAGAAATGCAGGGTTTGAACCTCAGAAATCATTGAAACCTCGTGGAAATCATTGAAAGCTCCAGAAATGCAGGGTTTGAACCTCAGAAATCATTGAAACTACACAGAAATCATTGAAAGCTCCAGAAATGCAGGGTTTGAACCTTAGAAATCATTGAAACCTCGTGGAAATCATTGAAAGCTCCAGAAATGCAGGGTTTAAACCTGTCAGGAATCATTTAAACCTGGCAGGAATCATTTAAACCTGGCAGGGAATGTTTAAACCTGGCAGGAATCACTGAAGGCTCCAGAAATGCAGGGTTTAAACCTCCAGGATTCATTTAAACATGGCAGGAATAATTTAAACCTGGCAGGGATTGTTTAAACCTGGCAGGAATCACTGAAGGCTCCAGAAATGCAGGGTTTGAACCTCCAGGAATCATTGAAACCTGACAGGGATTGTTTAAACCTGGCAGAAATCATTTAAACCGGGCAGGAATCATTGAACCCTCCAGAAATGCAGGGTTTAAACCACACCAAAATCATTTAAACCTCACAGAATTCTTTGAAACCTCACTGAGATCGTTTAAAACTCACAGAAATCACTGAAACCTCAGGGCCCGCTGTGCTGGGGCTGGGCCGCCATGTTTGTCCCTCAGGGAAGGTGGCACTGGGCTAACCTGCCATGTTTGTCCCTCAGGGAAGGTGGCACTGGGCTAACCTGCCATGTTTGTCCCTCAGGGAAGATGGCGGTGTCAATCTCAGGAGTTTGTCCCTCAGGGAAGGTGACACTGAGCCCATCCCAGGAATTTTTCCCTCAGGGAAGATGGCAGTGCCAATCCCAGGAATTTGTCCCTCAGGGAAGGTGACACTGAGCCCATCCCAGGAATTTGTCCCTCAGGGAAGATTGCAGTGTCAATCCCAGGAATTTGTCCCTCAGGGAAGGTGACACTGAGCCCATCCCAGGAATTTTTCCCTCAGGGAAGATTGCAGTGCCAATCCCAGGAGTTTGTCCCTCAGGGAAGGTGACACTGGGTAGACCCGCCATGTTTGTCCCTCAGGGAAGGTGGCGGTGGCCGTGTCCTGCCGGGAGCCCTACCTGTGCGCCCAGTGCCACACGGACTTCACGTGCCGCTGGCGGGAGGAGAAGAACGGCACCATCATGTGCGAGACCTGCATGGCCTCCAACCAGAAGAAGGCGCTGAAGGCCGAGCACACGAACCGGCTCAAGGCCGCCTTCGTCAAGGCCCTGCAGCAGGAGCAGGAGATCGAGCAGAGGATCCTGCAGCAAACGGCCCCTCCCGGGCAGCCCAAGGCCGAGCCCGTGGGGCAGCACCACGCGCTCAAGCAGGTGAGGGCCCGGCCCCGGCCGATCCGGCTTTTCCAGAGGGGGAAAAACGCTTGGAGTTGGTGCAGGGGTTGGGTTTGGACCTTAGGGTGGGATGGGTTGGAGGTGTGGTTCTGGGTGCTAAAGGGTGTTTGAGCCTGAAGATCAGACAGTCACAAAAATCAGTCAGAAAAATCAGGCAGTCACAAAAATCAGGCAGTCCCAAAAATCAGGCAGTCACAAAAATCAGACAGTCACAAAAATCAGACAGTCACAAAAATCAGTCAGAAAAATCAGGCAGTCACAAAAATCAGGCAGTCCCAAAAATCAGACAGTCCCAAAAATCAGACAGTCCCAAAAATCAGAGAGTCCCAAAAATCAGAGAGTCCCAAAAATCAGTCCCAAAAATCAGACAGTCACAAAAATCAGGCAGTCCCAAAAATCAGGCAGTCACAAAAATCAGGCAGTCACAAAAATCAGGCAGTCACAAAAATCAGACAGTCACAAAAATCAGTCAGAAAAATCAGGCAGTCACAAAAATCAGGCAGTCCCAAAAATCAGACAGTCCCAAAAATCAGACAGTCCCAAAAATCAGAGAGTCCCAAAAATCAGAGAGTCCCAAAAATCAGTCCCAAAAATCAGACAGTCCCAAAAATCAGGCAGTCCCAAAAATCAGACAGTCCCAAAAATCAGAGAGTCCCAAAAATCAGAGAGTCCCAAAAATCAGACAGTCAAAAAAATCAGAGTCCCAAAAATCAGAGAGTCCCAAAAATCAGACAGTCAAAAAAATCAGTCACAAAAATCAGACAGTCACAAACATCAGTCCCAAAAATCAGAGAGTCCCAGAAGTCATCCAATCCCAAAAATCATCCAATCCCAAAAATTATCCAGTCCCAAAAATCAGACAGTCCCAAAAATCAGACAGTCCCAAAAATCAGACAGTCCCAAAAATCAGACAGTCCCAAAAATCAGACAGTCCCAAAAATCAGACAGTCCCAAAAATCAGACAGTCCCAAAAATCAGACAGTCCCAAAAATCAGACAGTCCCAAAAATCAGACAGTCCCAAAAATCAGACAGTCCCAAAAATCAGACAGTCCCAAAAATCAGACAGTCCCAAAAATCAGACAGTCCCAAAAATCAGACAGTCCCAAAAATCAGACAGTCCCAAAAATCAGACAGTCCCAAAAATCAGACAGTCCCAAAAATCAGACAGTCACAAACATCAGTCCCAAAAATCAGAGAGTCCCAGAAGTCATCCAATCCCAAAAATCATCCAATTCCAAAGCTCCTCCATTCCCACCTTCCAGGCTGCTCCAAGCCCCCTCCAGCCTGGCCTTGGACACTTCCAGGGGCAGCTCCTCTGGGAATTCCAGCCCAGCCCCTCCCCGCCCTCACAGGGAGGAATTCCTGCCCAAAATTCCTCCCAAATCTCCCTTTTCCCAGTTTAAATCCCTTCCCTGTGTCCTGTCCCTCCATCCCTTGTCCCCTCTGCAGCTCCCCTGGAGCCCCTTTAGGCTCTGGAAGGGCTCTGGATCCTTCTCCAGGTGAACATTCCCAGATTTCCCAACCCTCGGATCCATTCCAAAGCTGCCCCAGCACCAAAACACCGAACTGACCTCAGTTCAATCCCTTTTTTTTTGCTGCTTTTTGCCCAAATTCCTCATCCCACGCGGATCCCAAAACTCCCAGCCTTCTTTAGATCCAACCTCCAAACTAATTCCAACAACAACAAAAAAAACAAAACCCACCCCAAATCCTTATCCCAAAACCCTTTGGAATTTTTTTATCCCAAACAAAAGCCACATCCCAGATTTTTATTTATTTTAAAAAATCTTTTTTTGGGGTTTTGTTTTATTTTTAGAGTTCCAGCCAGATGTCCCGAGGTGCCGGCGCTTCCCGAGGGGTCCTGCACGCCTTCAGCTCCTCGCCAAAGCTCCAGAGCTCCTCGGCCACCCTCGGGAGCCGGCCTGGAAAACACTCGGAAAGATCCGGAAAAGGCGGAGCGGCCTCCTGGAAGAAAAATCCCATCGGCACAGGTACAGGGAAACGGCTTTTCCTTGGAATGGCGGCAGGAAAATTCCCGGATTTTTAAGTGGGAGTCTTTGAGGGGTTTGAGGTGGAAGTTGTGGTGGGTTGTCCTCGTCGAACGGCGCCGGCAGGAGGGAAAATCCATGGAAAAATCCAAATTTTCCGTTTGGAATTGAGATGTTTAAGGATTTAGAAAGGTTTAATTAAAATATAATTGAAATTATTCATTTGGAATTGAAATGTTTAAGGATTTAGAAACGTTTAATTAAAATATAATTGAAATTATTGCTCCAAATTATTAATTTGGAATTGAGATATTTAAGGATTTAGAAAGGGTTAATAGAAAGGTAAATGAAATTAATAATCCAAATTATTCATTTGGAATTGAAATGTTTAAGGATTTAGAAAGGTTTAATTAAAATATAATTGAAATTATTGCTCCAAATATTCAAATTCTCCACTTGGAATTGAGATATTTAAGGATTTAGAAAGGTTTAATTAAATAATAATTTGAATTATTGCTCCAAATATCCAAATTATTCCATAATTCCAGAGACCTCAAATCCTCATTTTTGATCCCAAACCTTTGGGTTTTTTGGGATGAGTTAGGCACCAGATCCCATGCTTAAATCCCACTTTTCCATGGGTGTGAACTTATTTTTTCCATCATTCCCGGTTTATTCCATAATTCCAGAGACCTCAGATCCTCATTTTTGATCCCAAACCTTTGGGTTTTTTGGGATGAGTTAGGCACCAGATCCCATGCTTAAATCCCACTTTTCCATGGGTGTGAACTTATTTTTTCCATCATTCCCGGTTTATTCCATAATTCCAGAGACCTCAGATCCTCATTTTTGATCCCAAACCTTTGGGTTTTTTGGGATGAGTTAGGCACCAGATCCCATGCTTAAATCCCACTTTTCCATGGGTTTGAACTTATTTTTTCCATCATTCCCGGTTTATTCCATAATTCCAGAGACCTCAAATCCTCATTTTTGATCCCAAACCTCTGAGTTCTTGGGTTAAGTTTGGATCCTGAATCCACCAGATCCCGCTGGGATAATCCACAATTAAATCCCACTTTTCCATGAGTTTTGAAATTATTTTCCATCATTCCCAGTTTATTCCATAATTCCAGAGACCTCAAATCCTCATTTTTGACCCCAAACTTTTCCATTCTCAGGATAAATTTGCGCCCCAAATCCACCAGATCCCGCTGGGATAATCCACAATTAAATCCCACTTTTCCCTGAGTTTTTTAATTATTTTCCATCATTCCCAGTTTATTCCATAATTCCAGAGACCTCAAATCCTCATTTTTGATCCCAAACCTTTGGGTTTTTTGGGATGAGTTTGGCACCAGATCCCATGCTTAAATCCCAATTTTCCATGTTTGGTTTTTTTTTCCATCATTCCCAGTTTATTCCATAATTCCAGAGACCTCAAATCCTCATTTTTGACCCCAAACTTTTCCATTCTCAGGATAAATTTGCGCCCCAAATCCACCGGATCAATCCCCGCTCAAACCCCTCTTCCCCCACCCCTTTCATTCCCATCATTCCCGCTTTATCCCTCAATTCCCTGCTCCCAAAAAATCCCCAAAAATTCCCAAAATTCCCATTTTTTTTTGGTTTTTTCCCACAGGTGGGGCCCTGCCCTTCGTCAGCCCCGCCCTGGCCGTGCACAAATCGGCCTCGGCCGTGGAGCGGCAGCGCGAATATCTCCTGGATATGATCCCACCCCGCTCCATCCCACAGTCGGCCACATGGAAATAAAATTCCTGAGGGAGAACTTTTACCAGGCTCTGCCATCCTTTGGGATTTGTTTTTCGTTTCTTTGGAATTTTATTTGAATTTTTTTTTTGTTTTGTTTTGTTTTTTTTTCTACCACAATTCCGTGGAATCTGCTTTAATTCCCAGCTGGAAAAAAAAACGCCCCGAGGCTTTTTAGGATGCGACATCGCCACTCCTCATCCGTCCCTGCCGGGAGAGAAGCGACCGCGTCCGAATCCCGGCTCCGTTGGCTCCCAGATTTTTCATGGAAGCTGGCAGGGAAAAGGAGGAAGAATTCCTTCATTTGTTGTTTATTTTTTGGCTTTTTTCCCTGTTTAGTTTTGGAATTTTTTTGGCACCAGCACAAAACAAGGACTCAGCGATTCCTCTCCCGCCGAACGTTTTTGCCGGGTAAACGCTCCGGAATTCCGGAATTTCGGGGGCGCGGAGAGAGGAATTCCAGCCTCATCCTGCGTTTAGTGAGCCGAGTTCGTGGCTGCTCCTTTTTCCCTGCTCCTCTTCCGGCCGGGAAAGCGGGCGGCTCATCCCGATATTCCCAAAATCCCGACGATTCCGCGCAGAAGGAGAGCTCAAATTCCCGATTCCGCTTGAGAATGGTTCGGTTGTTTTTTTTTTTTTAATCCTTTCGGGAAATCCCAAATCTCGGCTGGAAAGTGGGAATTGCGGGAAATTCCTGCTTTTTTTTTTGCATTCTGGTCGGAATAAACTTCGGAACCGTTGGGAATTTCCAAACCTTGCAGTTACTGAGAGACAAAATCCGCCTCGGTTCTTTCTCATCCCGGGAATTTTGGGGCTTTCCCGACTTTCCCAAAGACTCCAAAGCGAATTTTGGGAATTTTATTTTTTTTTTTTTTCCTTTGGGAAGGTTGGTTGGGATTTGGTTTTATTTTGGTGTTTTTTTTTGGGGGGGAGGGAATTTTCTGTTTCCTTTTCTGTTGTTGTTTCGAGGGATATTATTCCACGATTTCTAGGAATTCCAGAAGGGAAGGTCGGGAGCGATTCCCGATTCCCACCGGGAATTCCGGCCCTTCCCTCCGCGATTCCAGTTCTTCCAGGCATCCCCAGCGCCCTCCTGAATCCATTTGGGATGAAGTTTTCCATCTTTTTTTTTGGGAATTCCAGAGGTTTAACCCAAAATCCATCCGGGGCCGGTTTGGTTTCGTTTTTATTTCTCATCCTCTTTTTTTTGTTTGTTTGTTTTTTCCTTGGGCTTCTTCCCGAATTCCAGACGAATCCAAGGGGCAGAATTCCAGGTTTTATTCCAAGTGCTAAGAATTCTTTGGGAAATGTTGGGAATTTTCTCGGGGAAATGATAAATAAATATAATCTAGAGCTCTATATATAAAAATAAGGGAGAAAAAATTCAGGAAAAGCCGGATTTATTTTCTTAGGAATTCCTTCGGGATCGTCCCCCTCGGATCCGAGTGACAAAACCCCTCCCTATTCCCACTTTTCCCAGCTTTTTGATATTTAGGGATTTAGTTTAGTTCAAAAACAACAACAAAAAAAAAAAACCCCACAAAAATTCCTTTTCCAAACCGGGATTTGTTGGATTAAAAACCCCCCCCGGAATTCCCACCGGGAATTTGCGGATTTTGGGGCTTTTTTTCCGTCGGGATTCCGAGATTTCGAAGGTGGGAATTGGGTCGGAATTTTGGAATTTGGAGTTTTCATTCCAAGCTTGGATCGGGAGATGCCGACAGGGGGATGACGCGGAATTCCTGAAATTCCGTCGGATTTTATGGAAAATTTCCCGTTCCTTTCCCACATTTGGAATTTTTTGGGAGGATTTTTCCTCTCCTGGTTTTTTTTTTCCAACATTCGGAAAAAATTCCTTAATTCCCCAAAAAATTCCAACAAAATTCCTCCAATTCAAATCCAAATTTATTTTTTTTTTTGGGAACGAGGGAGGGGCGGGAAAACCTTCGTTATTCCCGGTGTTTGGATGATTCCCGAAAAAAAAAAAAAAACGGGAATGAAAGAGGAGCAGACGGATTTAATGGGATTAAAAAAAACGACGTCAAAAACTTTTTGGATCCCAGGAGAATTCCTTTGGAAATTGGAATTTCAGCCGGCTCTGGATCGTTGAAATAATCGGGAATGTTGGAATTGATGGATAATTCAGGATAAATCCCCAAAAAAATGATTTGGAAGGGGAAGGAAAATCCGGCATGGAACGAGATTGGAAAACCCAAAATCCAACCTGGGATGAGGCTGGAAAAAAGCCAAAATATTTTATGGAATGGGGCTGAAACTCAGAATTCCCACCTGGAATGTGGCTGGAAAAATCCAAATCCAGGCTGGAAAAATCCAAATTCCCACCTGGAATGAGGCTGGAAAATCAAATCCAGGCTGGAAAAATCCAAATCCAGGCTGGAATGAGGCTGAAATTCCAAATCCAGGCTGGAAAAATCCAAATCCAGGCTGGGAAAATCCAAATTCCCGCCTGGAATGAGGCTGGAAAAATCCAAATCCAGGCTGGGAAAATCCAAATTCCCGCCTGGAATGCGGCTGAAATTCCAAATCCAGGCTGGGAAAATCCAAATCCAGGCTGGGAAAATCCAAATCCAGGCTGGGAAAATCCAAATTCCCACCTGGAATGAGGCTGGAAAATCAAATCCAGGCTGGGAAAATCCAAATTCCCGCCTGGAATGCGGCTGAAAATCCAAATCCAGGCTGGAAAAATCCAAATCCAGGCTGGGAAAATCCAAATTCCCGCCTGGAATGCGGCTGAAAATCCAAATTCCCACCTGGAATGAGGCTGGAAAGATCCAAATCCAGGCTGGAAAAATCCAAATTCCCGCCCGGAATGCGTCTGGAATTCCAAATTCCCGCCCGGAATGCATCTGGAATTCCGAATTCCCGCCCGGAATGCGTCTGGAATTCCGAATTCCCGCCCGGCACGCGGCTCCTGGGATCCGTCCTGCTTCTTGACGTGGTTTTTCCCGGTGGTTCTTGGAATGTTGCCGGGAATTCGGAGGATTCGTTTTATTCCATCCACGTCTCTGCCAAATTCGGGATCCATCCCGGAAAAGATTCCGTGGCGGAATGCCGGAATGGGATTTTCCCTTGGGAATTCCCATTCCTTGTTCCGCTGGGGGTTTTTTTTTGGGGGGTGGGATTGGGATGGTTCGGGTTCAAAGTTGTTCCAACTCTTCAATACAAAATTTTCCAAACCTTTTCCCGGTCTCCTTTTTCCAGGGGGAAAAAAAACCAACAAAACTTCACCAAAAAATGGGAAAAACGGGGGGGAAAATTCCCAAAAAACGGAAAATTCCCGTCGTGGAATTGTGGCCTGGAAGGGAAATGTTTGGGAATGGTGGAGGGGGGGGGATTGGGGAACAAATCTCGGATCCCCTTTGGAATTCGGGATCCTCTGAGGGCTTTGGGATCCGTTTTGGGATTCCCAGATTCCAGAGATCTTTGGGATTCCCGAATTCCTGAGGGCTTTTGGATCCCCTTTGGAATTCGGGATTCCCCGAGATCTGCTGGATCACCCTTGGGATTCCCAAATTCCAGGGATTTTTGGGATTCCCAAGTCCTTGAGATCCCTTGGAATTCCCAAATCCCTGAAATCTCTTTGATCCCTTTTGGGATTCCCAAATCCTTGAGATCTCTTGGATCCCCCTTGGAATTCCTGAATTCTCTTGGATCCCCTTTGGGATTCCCGAATTCCTGAGGATTTCTGGATTTCTGTGATCCCTGAGGCCCTTGGATGCCTTTTGGAATTCCCAAATTCCTGAAATCTCTTGGATTTGGGATTCCTGAACCCATTGGAGTTGCTGAATCCCGAGATCTTCGGAATTCCCAAATTCCCGAGATCTCTTGGATCCCCTTTGGAATCCCTGAATTCTCCTGGATCCCCTTTGGAATTCCCGAATCCCTGAGAACTCTGGGATCCCCTTTGGAATTCCCGAATCCCTGAGATCTCTTGGATCCCCTTTGGAATTCCCAAATCCCTGAGATCTCTTGGATCCCTCTTGGAGATTCCCAAATCCCTGAGATCTCTTGGATCCCCTTTGGAATTCCTGAGATCTCTTGGATCCCCTTTGGAATTCCTGAGATCTCTTGGATCCCCTTTGGAATTCCCAACCCCTCAATACTTTAGGAATTCAGGTGTCCCTGAAACTCCCAAATTTCCTTCGCCATTCCCAAATCCCTGAGATCTCTTGGATCCCCTTTGGAATTCCTGAGATCTCTTGGATCCCCTTTGGAATCCCTGAGATCTCTTGGATCCCCTTTGGAATTCCCAACCCCTCAATACTTTAGGAATTCAGGTGTCCCTGAAACTCCCAAATTCCCTTCGCCATTCCCAAATCCCTGAGATCTCTTGGATCCCCTTCGGAATTCCCGAATTCCTGAGATCTCTTGGATCCCCTTTGGAATCCCTGAATTCTCCTGGATCCCCTTTGGAATTCCAGAATCCCTGAGATCTCTTGGATCCCCTTTGGAATTCCCGAATCCCTGAGATCTCTTGGATCCACGGGAACACCACCCAACCCTCAAACTCCCACAAATCCTTCGGGATCCTCTCTTTTCCCGCTCTTCCCGAGCCATTCCAGGGGCAGCTCCGGATCCAGGGGGGTCCCTAAAGCCATAAAATTCCCGCCGGGAATTTGGGAATTCCCAGGAACGCCGCGGATCCCGAGGAAGCGCCGTTGTACTTTTAGATTTTAGCGAGTCGTGAAATAAAGAAATCCCGGATTTTGATGGGAAAATTCCCGCGGTGGAATTCGGGAGCCGTGTGGGTTTTTTCTGGGATTTCATTCCCGACGGTCGGGGTTTGGAATTTTTTTTGGGGGGGGGGAGGAAAAGTTGGAATTTTTATTTATTTTTATTTTTATTTTTTTTTTCCCTATCTGAGGTTTTTCATCCGTCAGCATTCCCAGAAAAAAAGGAGATTTCCCGGATTTTTGATATTCCCGGGATTCCTGCGCTTGTTGTTCCTTAGGAAAACGGGAAATCCAAAATTCCAGCGGATTCGGGATTTATCCCACGTCTGCTTTTATCCTCATTCCGGGAATTATTCCTTTTCCTCTGCATTCTCCCATCCAATTATCCCCTTTTTTTTGGGAAAAAATCAGGATCGAATTCCCAAAATTCAATCCCAGATGGAAAAAGTGGGAATTTGGGCTGCAGGAGGGGGCGAAAAGGAGGAAAATCCGGGAGAATTTTGGGAAAAAAAATTCCAAACTTCCCAAATTTTCCCTTTGGGAAAGGAGGGGGAACAAGGGTGGGTTTGGATTTCCTTGGATTTGTTGGGATTTAAAATATTCCGGAATAAATCCCAAAATTTAATAATCCTCATTAATCCCGCCAGCAGAAGGACCCGGAATCGCTAATTAATGACTAATTAATGAGTAATTAATGACTAATTAATGACTAATTAGTGACTAATTAATCCATGATTGTATCGGGATAGGGGGGTTGGAATTGGAACGCCAAAAAACAAACGGAAAAACTCCCGGATCTGCCTCGCCATCCCGGGATTTTGGGGCTCGGGATGAATCCCATGGATCACCCAAAGCCGGATCTGCTCCTTCCCGAGGTTTATTCCCAAAAAAACCCCGGGAAGACGGGAAAAGAAAGCGGAAAAAATCTGGGATTTCTGTGGATTTTCCGTGGGATTTCATGGAGCGCGTTCGGAGGAATTTCCCGGGATTCCGACGGAGCAAATCCATAAATCCAGACTCTTCCTCGTTCCCACCTGGAATTCCTGCTCCACCGCCCTTGGATTTCACCTGAACATTCCAGGAAAACTCACGGAGCCCTTGGATTTCCCTCTGGAAGGAGAAGAGGAAATTCCCAGATTGATTTGGCCCCCGATTCCGGATAAAATCCAAATTCTTGGAGCGTCTTCGGCAGCCGGGGAAGAGCCGCGGCCACGATGGAATTCCCAAATTTCCATGGAATTATCCCGAATTTCCATGGAATTATCCCAGATTCGCA